ACGGAGCCCTTGTACGGTCATTCATTTATTTAGTCACTCATTCCACATGCATTTCCTGATGTGCCTACTGTGCGCCAGGCACAAGGCTAGAGAGACAAATGAGACTCCAGCCTCAGGCTCTAGGAACTCAGATGCTAGTTCCATTCAAAGTCACTCGGCTAATCAGCCAAACAGCCAAGCTGCCAGACCCCAGAGCCCATGTGCAGAACCACCACACACCAGGCCACTTCCCAGAGCAACTATAAAATAAGGGGGGGAGGCTGATGTCTGTAAAGAGGAGAGTTTACCATGCTTACGGGAGTGCAGAGGGAAAGCAAGTACTTACACTTAGACAGGTGGGGTGGGGGGTGGGGAGGGGACACAGATCACAGAAGGGTGAACTGAGGAGGCAGCTGTCCTAGCAGAACAGACAGAATCTAGGCACGAAGAAATAAGAATACCCACTGCAAACAGAAAGACAATAGATCAAAGACACAGTGCAGACGAGGCACAGAAGTAACACCCCCCTGATAGGCTAAGCCCCACGAACCAGGTTATGAAACTGTTTCAGACACCACAATTCACACCACTCACTGCACATAAAAAATGCGAGATGCTAAACTACATGACCATGCAGATCCAACGAACTTGTCTTTTAATCCCAGAAAACACTACACATTGGGATCTCAGCCATGGAGGAGAGAAAGCAACCAAAGGAGACTGTCCCACAGCATTCCTGGTCCCTGTAAGACATCTGGTCCCACAGACAGAGTCCACAACCAGCACTGCTTCCCAGAGAGATTCCCACCACTCTGCTACTCTGAGCCCTGGTGGCAGAGCACAAAACGTGCTGGACTGCTCAGCCCTGAAAGCCAGCTGCAAGGGCTCCTCCAGCCAGAGGTGCATGAGAAGAGGGTCACAAGAACCTAAGCTTTTCTGGAACAAACACTTATAACTTTCCACCCACGCCCCATCTAGGACCTCCAAGGAGTCCAAAGAGGGACCTACCACCCAAGAAAATCCTGAACACGGCTCAGAGGAAAGAATGGGTGAGGCACTTCTCCTGAGAGAGCCGTTCATTGGACAGTCATCAACAAGGTGTATTTACTCAACATCTACTATGTACCACCGTGCCAGGCACCATTGGAGATTCGAAAATGACTCACTATGAATTGTATTTTGAAGATGCTTGATAAGCTAAAGATAAGATATGCACATAAATACCTAAAATATAGGGTATTTTATATGCAAAGTGCCATGAGAGAGGGTCATATAAGACGTGCTACTTTGGATCAGGGTCAGAAAAGCCCTCATGGAAGAGATGTAATTTGAGATTATTCTTGAACAGCTGTAAGCATAGTGACATGGGAAGATGGGGTGGTAGTGAGGAGGAGGCATTTCAGATGGAGAAAGCAGTGGCAGAAAAGCCAGGAAGTGGACAAATATAGGGAAGGAGAGTTTCGGAACTGTTGGTGGACAAATGGCTGGGGCTGTGAAGGAGAGGAGTGGAGGATAAACCCAAAGGAGCCAGACAGACCAACGAGGACCTGGCCATGCAGTCTGGCCTTTCCTTGGGGGGCAGTGGGTAGCCAGTGAAGCCTCAGGATCACTTCTCTAGCCGAAGTCATCCAACCAAGGTATGAATGGAGAAGAAGGGAAAGACGTGAGGGACGTTGCTGAGGCAAAATGTCAACAGTTAAAAACAAAAACAAATGGGCCTCAAGAACAAGATGAGAAAGGGGGCAGAGACTTAGTAAAACTTCCTGTAGAGCTGAACAAGCATTTACTGAGCCCCTGGTATGAGCCAGGCGCTTTGCGTGACAAAGTAACAGAGAGGCCTGGGCCTCCATTAGCAGACATCAAGGAACGTCTGAACAGGCAGACAAGCACCCCTGTTTTGGACAGTTCTCATTGGAGGCCGTTCAGCACTACAGGGAAGGCGGTGATGGCCGGGGGTTGGGGAGGACCAGGAACAGGCTGCACAGGCTGAAAACTGTTCAACCACATCAGTTTGCTTATGAGAAACCGAAGTTTGGGAAGCAAAATCAAGTGTTTCTCAACACGGTGGACAATACTGTAATCATCCCCACTCTGACACCCCATAAAGAAGAGCTCCCCCCACCACAGTGCTAAGAAGAAAATTAAATAAATGACACACGCTTTCAATAAGTGGAACTGAGCAATGCTGCTGCTGACTGAACTAGGAGGGGGATTACTGTGGGAACTGAGTTGCACCGTTTCCATGGCTTCAGCCTCCACTGGTCCCTACAAGTCCACAAATGAAAGCTGCATAGAAACTTGAGATTGTTTATATTAAAAAACAATCTAACCCTGGGAAAACTTGCCGCCCTCCAGGTAGTCTCTAACTCCCCAAAGCTGGCTGAGTTGCATACAAACCAGACCAAACACATACTGGCCCAACGGGGATGGCCACAGAAGTACTTATCCAACAAAAGTCATCATTTCACTGCAAACGACCTGTAACAGCCAGGAACATCTTCCACTAAGCGGGCCCTGAGTCCTACTCTCAGTGCTCAGCATACACATTTCCCACAGAGCTATGAGGCCCAGAAAACCGCCAGCTCCCTGATACGTACAGCTTGGCAACCCATATTGGTCTCTGCCCTTCGTTGTGCCATTCACATCAACTGAAAAGTATTTACTACAGATGAAAAATAAGCTTCGTTCAGCTGCCTCTAAACCGATCCCAAAAATAGAGCAATCACTTTGGTACAAATTGGGTCAAATGTATAAAAAAAAAAAAAAAACCTGGCTCCCTGGCAGGAGGACTGACATGGCATGGGACCTTGCTAAGAGTCAGGGGGAAATCCACAAAGATCTTCCCTTCCCACAGTGGGAAAGGAAGTATTTAAAGAGTCGGCAGAGAATACTCATCTGGCCCTGTGACCATCCAAGTGAACCCGACACACAGACTTGAATGCTGTGAGTTTCAGAATACTAAGAGGTCAAAGGAATATATGACGGTTTTTAGAAAGGCCTGCCAAACTAGCACACTCCCTCCTCCCCACCAAAAAAAGACCAGTGTTTAAGAATTGTCAAGAAAGGATCCACTGGGAAGGGGTTGCAAGGGGGATAAAGAGGGATTTATCCATTTCCTATATTTCATTCCCTCACTTCTTAGCTGAGAAATCCAAATGGTTGACAGTACTTATATTAGTGCCCCAAATTTCCTTGGGAAAAAATCAGAATATTAATTGGCTTGCACATGCAGCTACATTAATTATTCCATTGATCTGAATTAATCTGCCTTTCTGAAAGGTACTTATTTTCTAAGTTTGTTTAATCATGTTCTTTTGAGCTACAAAAAGCAACAAACTGGGTCACCATCCACGTTGTTAAATTTGGTAACAGGGCTGACACCATCTGTGGCCTAGACTACGATGATCTATCCCCACTGATGGGGCCTTTTCACTACTTCTGCTTTTCCTTTAAAATGATCATCTAATGTCACATGGCTACCACCAAATCAGAAGCTATTTAAAATATCCAAAGTTACAAAAATCACCTCTAGCATAGTATAAATACATACTAACAGTAAGTGTTTATATGTGTATCCAAATTCCATTTACGGTCGTATCTTCAGCAGCAATATCCAGAATGTTTTAAAATTCTCTAGAAATCAGATTACAAAAGCCAAAACATGAATAGGTATCATGTTATATCTGAAATTCACCACAACATTTTAAATGCAACATGAAATCTTCCACAAACCATTAAGGCTAACATCACAAGAGCATAATTTCAGTATCTTCAGAACCCAGCAGAGCTCCCCCCAACACCAGTTTTGCCTTTACAATACTCACTCAGTTAAGAAAAGCCAGCCCTACTAAAACACACTCCAACAGGAGAAACCAAAAACAAATGGAACTAGCTAAAGAGGAGACAGCCAAACAACAGCTCCCTGTCATCCAGCACCAGCTCCCCCTTCAGCTGCCTTTCTGCACGGCCTCCAATTATACAGGACTGATCCTTGCGAGAAGGATGCTACAGCTCCAGAAAAATCCTGTAATGGCTTCTGAATCATCAAGAAAAGATTACAGAACATCAGAGGTAAAAACAATCCTAGTGATCTTCTCATCCAACCCCCTTGACAGGTGAGTGAAGGCAATGCAGAAAGGATACGGGAAACGCCCCAAAATACAGCTAGTTGACAGCCGAGTGGGACAAGCTCCTGGTCCCACTCTAGTGCTCTTTACTGCTGCTTTTTTTTTTTTTTAACTGTATCAACCTTTCCCAAAGGAAGTTCCATGAAACACTGGTTCTGTGATGTGTTCTGCCAAAAAAATGTTTAAAGAATGCATGACCAATTACTTTTAGGGACTAGCTGAGTTAAACAGAACGAAACTGGTTTTTTAACTACAGACCTTCCCGGGGCTTTTACTGAGCTAATGTGCATGATGAATCTTTAAGAGGGCAGTAAAGTATGTGGAAGTACCCCAATTTACTTAACCATAGAATCATTTGATCTTGGGGCATTTCATGGACTAGGAGCAGGAACTTCAATACTATACTGTATTCTTCTCCGAATTACGCTCCATGTAGATTTATTAGTTCTGTTGTATTCTCCTTCTCTAAAAATTAATAGTTCGGGTATAAAATCTATGATAGTTCTCTACTTACCAGAAAAATTGACCAAAGTACCCACCACTCCCAAGTAACACTGGACTAAAAAAAAACAAACAAAAAGCTAATATTATCAGGAAAAGAATGGTAGACAATAAAAGCCTATGTGGAGAGAAAAGTTATTTTAAAATCTGCTACAAACCTCTTCCATTAAAAGTTCCACATGTATTTATACAAGATTCATGAGTTTAAACACTTTCATTCAGTATAAATTTGAGAATACAGGTCAAAAAACAAACACTACAGTTGCAAAGCTCCAGGAAACATCACATGCATGGCTGTGAACTTCAACCACCCAGAAAGCCAGCTGCCAGGTTAAGTACAGGGACAAATGACAACCACCCATCAGGACAAGCAGGAACTCCAACGCCACTTACCAAGTTATGATTTGTTGAATTAGAATCATCTTCAGGGAATGGGATGTAAATAGCTAAGGCCACACAATTGGCAAAAATAGCCAATAATATAAATATGTCAAATGGTCTGAAAAATTTTGTTAAGGTACGTATGTGTTATGCCAACATAAACCATCTCTCTCATCATATTCCCGATCACACCCCGTTAGAAGCACTTTTTAAATGAAAATTATATACACAAATCCTTTTTCTACTGACTGCTCTGACTACTAGGTCTCCAGCAGAAGTAATCGTCATGGTCCTTTCCCAGTAGATCTTCCTATCGAATGACCTCTCCGTGTCCTTTTCTTCTGTTGCAAGGATCATGTTACACTCATACTTCTGCTGTACATTTTATATTAAAACCTGAAAGTACATCCAATTAGGGCACTATGTGAACCAGGTTTCTGCTTGTAGTTTTAAAAGCGACAAGGGTCTTAGAAAGCTAAATTCCTGGCTCTTGTAGATACAAACAGAAGTCATCATGAGACAAATCTCTTCCACAAATCCTTACCTCCATGTGCTAGAGCCATTTCTTCGGGGGCTATTCTTGGCTGGGTCAGCCTGCATCTCCTGTCTGGACTGGGGCATGCCAAGTCACCAAAACCTTCTCCATTCTACCTCTGACTGTCTGGTGGCTTGTTCCAATACCTCAGATGCTCTAATAAGTAAGCCAGGCTTCAGCTGCCTCCTCTGCTTTCTTTACTAATCAGTGGTTATCACTGTTTCACATGAGAGCCGGACCAGAGCTCAGTTTATAATGTGCTGTTACTGCGTTCAATTTATAAACAAATTAAATAAAGAGCCATAAGAAATCAGCACCAGACACTTTCAAAGTACAATTTAACAATTCTAAATCTCGGGGGTCTGTCTGGAAGAATCACTCTGAGATCAGCTTTCAACAGATACTTGCTTAAACATTCTGGTGTTATTAAGAGATATTGTCAAAACTGGCAATACAAAATTTGACATCTGCCAAAATGACTGTTTTTCTTCTTTTGTTTTTCAGCCTTTCCAAATGCAAGGTTTCATGAGCACCAACCTAATGTGCAATTCCAGGACTTGATTTTATAGCAGTGTTTCTTCCACATACTCACCCACAAAAGGCAAGGCCACTGGTTTAATTAAACCAGTACTAAAGTAGTGAAGCTTTGAGGATATGAACAGACCCTTCTCCATTCATCCCGATAACCTTCTGGGAAATCCAAAAATTTCCCAGAAAGAAGGAAACAAAGACCCCTTACCTCTCTGAGGATTCGTTGAGGTTCATGAAACCTCAGCCCCTTGAGCTTCAACACTCACTGAAATAAGGACATGAAGGACATTAATCCTCTTACTAATTTTGATGGGTTTATTTTTAAAGCCAGTTACCGTTCATTCATATTTATTCTCTTAACTCATCTGGTATTACAAAACCTCTTATCTAGAGATTCAACTTAAGACAGTCCCCCTAAAAAGACTTCAGAATCTCCTTTTCATTTTTCCTTTTAGCAGTTCCTACCAAAATTTAAAAAGCCAATTGCCCCAATGTTATCCTAGATGGAAACATTCAGTCTCTCCCCTCCCCCACACTACCATTCTTCCTTTTTAATTTCCCAATACCTAAATGTGATCAACCAGCAAATCTGAGAAGCACTAACACTGTTCAGGAAAGCCAAACATGAGTATTTTTTTCTTTATGGTGGTCAAGTTTCAGTCTCCAGGTATTGGTGGATACTATCTCGCTGCCACAAGATGTTTACAAGCCAAGCAGAATAGAGCAACAGAGAAACAGACGGGTCTGATTCTAAGAATTCCTTCTGATAAGGCGAATACTCCTCATTCTCCCAAGATGCAGGACACTCTGCCTTGCCTGAGTGTAAAAACAAACTAGACTCTGATTCTCCCAGGACTGACTGGGCCTGGCACAGCTGGCTTTAGGAGGATTTCTATAACCTGTTCCCTGAACTAGAAGGAAGCAGTCATTTGAAAAAGCAAACAGATCATACATTCTTTAAGGATCTCTTCTACAAACTGTCCCAGTTGTAGGCAGGCCTCTCCCTGCACTGGCAGCCACAGCCCCTAATTCCTGTACACATGTGTCTGGCAATGCAGGAAAGGGAGTCGGCAGCACGATCCAGGAATTCACTCCACACATAAATTGCTATATACAAATTACTGCGCACAAAGAGAAACAGCATCAGGCCTCCCACCTCACTCCACATGACATTAATGACCCCACCGAGAGGTCTCTGCTTACTCAGAGTCACGTCAAGCCAACCTGAGGAGGAGGAGATCTTTCTGGCTAAGTGCAACCACTGCCTCTAACTCCAGAGATGCCACTGAGGCACAACTATTCACCCAACTCCCTACTGGGTGGATACTAATGGTTGTCGTCATACTAGAAAGGAACTTAAAGAGAAAACACATCCACACAACCCCAGCTATGTGAGAGACACCATAACTCCCTCTAGAGAAGAGACATCTGTTCTAAAAAGGAAAAGCACATGAAAACCCCTCAAATCCTACCCTTGCATTTGGCTGCTCTCTCCAAAACCTTTCTAGACAGTTACCTCATTTTAACTCATGTCCAGGGCACAGAAAACAGCCAGCTAAGACAGAGGGCACGCAAATAGATGCCTAGCCAGGTCCTCAGAGCTTTCAGCTCCACCTTCCAGCTGGTTGCCAACATCCTCCCCCTTGAGCGTGGCCCCTCCACCCTGGGCGCTGGTGGGGGAAGCCCTCTCTTCGCACTCCTTCCTATGGTTAGGAAGTGCTCTAAGGCCCCTCTCAGCCCAAAATATACTTCTGGGAAAAGGAAATGCTTTGTTTTACCCAGATCAATGAATCATCTGACTAATTAGAAATCCATTTGCTCAGAAACAAGGCCTCAGTCAACCTTTTCTGAAGGGTGGTAGTAACTGGAGGCGGGCCTCCAGGTTTGGGGAAAGGGGTGAGCTGGCAGAGCACCCTAGTTTTCCAAGATCTGGGGCCTAACCACCATCCTGGGGCATTTGGAGTTCAGTTTTAAAAATACAAAGGAGACATCCAGAAATGCAACTCCAGTCCAAGGACACAGACAGAATTTTTTTATAAAGGCAGCAACTGCAAATTCCTCCCCGGAGAGGCTGCTCTCTAACTCATATGGGCTCAGCAAGAAGATGCACACACAAACCTCTCCCTTCGCACACTCCCTCACGCTCACGTTTCAAATGCTTTTTTGGAACTTGTCAAAAGGAAATTCCAGGAAGTCATAGAATTGATGAGCAAATTGCTCCCTCCCTATGAAGCAAGTGTTCATATTTGTAGCTACCTGAACAATTAGAATCAGCAAATGTCAGAGCTAGAAACAACCTGAGCATTAACGGGAGTTTCAGAACCAAATTCCAAACATCAGAATAAGAAGATTCCACTAAAGGTCAAAAATGTATTTATTTCTAGTAGAGTCTCATACAGTCTTTTTTTAAATTAGCATACCTTATTTACAATAGGTTCAAATGCATACTACTGACCAAAAACAATGGTGGATTTCAACTAACCATCATTTGGTTAAACCAACCCAATGACCACAGGTTAGTTTCATATTTTAATTATCTCCCACTTTGAAGTTTCAGGCTGTCACTCCCTCTCCCCACCACTACACACAAACACGCACACAGAGGAATCTAAATATACCCACGGAGCCACCCGCTGCACCCTGAGGAGATAGGAAGGTACACATATACAGTGCAACCCTTTACACACAGCTTGCTCTGTTGCTCACATTCCAGACTGCCACCGCTTTGTAAGTGCCATTTCAGAAAGCAAATCCTTTTAAAGCACAGATGGTAAAAGAGAAAATGAGAAAGACTTTCCCCAAGAAAAGGATACTTCCATTCCACTATGCTAATGCAGGCTCTTCGGATGGGGTTATTGAGTGACAAGCAGAAGAGGGCTCGAGCAGGTCTGCTGTTGGACGAGTTACCCTGTTTTTTGCTCTTGGCGTATTGCTGACGTTTTCTTTGGGAGAGAGATCCTACAGGTGGGGGTGCAGAGGCGCTCATAGTTTGGGCAGCCTTGGCCTGTCTAGCAGCATCGATTGCAGCTTGCCAAGACAGGACGGTCTGCTTGGAGCTATTCGGCTGAGAAGCTGGTCCTTCACCAGAAAGAGGCAGTCTGGTGCTTCTTGCATAGTTTGCCTCTGGGAAAAAGGAGAAAAAGAAAAATTAAAACAAAAAAACAAAAAACAATGAGAATCCAGTGTCAGAAAAAAGCAAAGGTTTGTCTCCCACCAATAACAGGGGGGAATCGTTCCCATGTTTCTATTTTGAACCTCATGTCCTATTTTTCAGAAGCAGGGGTTTTGGTCAGCCAGAGCAGCAAGAAAAGCCTCTGCCCTGAGTGTCTGTCACACAGGACCACTGCTGCCTTATGCCCACGGCGGGTAGCACCTCTCTACATCCGTGTCTTCACAAGGAGTCTTTTAGTGCATCTCTTCAGACAAACTGAGGTCATTCCCACATTTATTCCACATCTTTTCTGACTTTTAGAAGCCAGATATCTCTAAGTTAGCAGATATATACAACAGCTTTTCTCCAAAATAACTACCACCATCACACACACACAAAAAGGCAGTGCCAATAATTCAATAGTCTTAATCATTTTCAGGGTGTTACTCCAACATCTTTCCACAGCCACAAATGCATTTTTTTCAGCATGGAAAAAAAAATCCTCCACTGGCACCAGGGCAATATCAAAAGCCCCATAACAAATATCTAGATTATGCACTGACACTTCCTGCAAATGAAAATTCATGATACTTGGGACTCATTTCCTCCACAGGCTTCCGAAAACAGAAAACATCTTTAGGGCTTTTTTGCATTTTAAATTGCAGCCGCAGCAGCCAAGCCAGCATCCAGAGAAACAGACGAGGCAGGCCGCCTGCACCCCTACACCTAGCACAGAGAGGCTCGATTATGCCAGGGGCCCTCAAGGCCTAAGCAGGAATCATCTCAATGTAGACTGGCATCCAGGTGCACACAGGGCAGAACCCCAAAGGGGCTCCATGTGCAAAACCTCTCTGACTTTGGAACAGGCCACCACCCAGACAGGGCTCACCGGCACCTGCCTGCCTGCCTGCGGTCACAACCTCCTTACTGAGACAGAAGTCAGAGTAAGCGTAACAGCAGAGGTAGAGGGATGGGCATTTGCAAAACCAATTCTTGCTAAGAAAAGAACAAGAGAGAGTCAAGGCAAGCACAGGTCTGCTTGCCCAGCAGCTTGAGAAGGGGGCCAGGGGGGCGGGCAGCGAACAGTCCTGAGCCCGGGAGGAGTCAGGAGTCATGCCAAGCCTTCCCTTGGGGAGCGCTCATCCGCAGGGGTGCCAGCCCACGGGGGGGTTGTTGGGGGTGGCGGTGACCTCCAAGGAGGAGGGAGCCGGGCTGACCAGGAGCTGCTCCTGCCTCCCTCGACCTGGCCCGGCCGGCGTGGTAACCGCACGTGGTGCCCGGGCTGGGGAGGGGAGCCCCACAGCGGCGGCGACTCCCCGGGCATTGCTAGGTTACCGACGTGTGCACAGCGGCGCTGGGAGCGGGAATACGCGCTCCACCAGACCCCTGGCCGGCGATTCTGAGACCCGGCCTCCCTCTCGAGGGGAGCGGTGAGCTTCACCCACTGGCGCGAAGGGTGAAACTGGGCAATCCTAGAATTTTCCGGATGCCACCAGAGACCTTCTTCCTAGTCAACCAGGGGGCGGGGAAGGAGGGGAAGGCGACAAGAGGCTCGAAAGGGGGTTCGGGCTGAAGACTAACAGCCACCACCCCCCCACCTCCATCGCTCGGGAGCGTCGGAGGAAAGTTGAGCCCGAGGACACTGAACCCGAATCACCTCGGCTGGCCGCCCCTCTGGCCGCACAGTACTCCACGGACTCCAGGGCCGCCCCTAACCCACAAATGCAGAATTAACTCTGACATTCAAGGCCTGAAGGGGAGAACGGAGTGGCTGTCACGCATCTCCCCTTTCTATGTAGATGACACCGAGCTAGCAGCATCCTCTCCAACCCTCTCAACCCACCCAGCGCATGAGAGACGGGAGGGGGGTGGGAAGGAAGAGGGGGTGGGAAGAGGAGGACCATGACAAGGATTAGATTTGGCAGCGGGTGCCTAGGCTCTGGCTGCTCACCGTTCGCGTGGTCCGCTTGCTGCTGCCGTTGATGCTGCATTTTTTTCATCATCATCATCATCATCATCCACGAACATTTATTGAGCGCCTACTGTGTGCAGGGCACTGTGCTGGGCGTTGGGGCGGAGGGGGGGACGGGTAAGGGGGTTACCGATAGGTAGGAGCCGCGGTCCCTGCCCTTATTCTCGCTTCAGCAGGGGGTGGGGAGGGACGAGGACAGATAACAGAAAATAAGAATAATTTATAAAAACCGCTCACCACCCACGCTCCCTCTTTTTCAAAAATGGAGCAAAATAAACTTTTTCTAAAAAATGAGATCAGATGTATATATTATCTTAATAATATATACATGTAATTTTTTGCTGCAAAGGAGAATTGGCTTGGTCCCCTCCTCTAGCGGAGGGACGCCGCGGTGATGCGGGCCCGGCCGCCGGGGCCGCTCCGAGCGCCCCCCATGCCCGCCCGCCCGCCCGCCTGCCGCGGTGCCCGGTGCCCGCCGCCGCTGCCGCCCGCGCCGCCGCTGGCTCGGGACCGCGGGCAGCCGGAGCTCACATCCGGGGACGGAGGCGCTCGCTCGCTCGCCTGCTCCGCGCCCGCCGCGCCGCGCCGCACGCCGGCTTCGCCCTGGCGACGCTGCGCGCCCGCCGCCGCCGTCCCCCTCCCTCCCCCCGCCCGCCCCGAGCCTCCCACGGGCCCGCTGCGCCCCGGCGGTCGGCCGCCCGGCCCGGGCTCTCCCCGCACGGCCCGCGCGGTCGGGGTGGCCGCCGCGTGGGACTCGGGGTGCCACCACCCCGGCCTGGCTCGGCTGACCCGCGGGCGCCGAAGGGTTAAGCGCGCTCCTGCCGCCGGCCGCCCGGTTAACCCCCTCGGCGCCGCAGTGTGCTCTCCCCCTCTCCCCTGAAGGAGGCGGGCGGGGCCTTTGGGGCCCGCGGATGCGGAGTGCGGATTAACCGCTCCTCCCCCTGCATTTCTTCGGGGCTCGAGGGATGGGATGCTTAGGCTCCCGCCGCCAGCCTTGGCTGTGCGCGGCGTCCTCCCCTCCGCACACCTGGAGGAGGCTCCGCCCCCTGGGCGCACAGGTGCAGGCGGGCGGTCGTGGAGGGGCTCTGTCTGCCTGCCTCGCCGCTCTGGAGCCGGGCAAGCGCCCCCCTTTTCCTACAGCTCTTGCTGGTTGCGAGGGGAGGGGGGAGGATGGGGGAGTCCTGCTCTCTGGAGAGCGCTCACTGCTCGGGGTAACAGCACCTGCAGAGCTAACCAGGTTTCCAGAGCGTCCCCCCACCCATCCCCACCTGGCGCAGGTCTGGCGCCGCTGTGCGCTCTGAGACGGTTGGGAGGGGAGACATCCTTCTCTCTCTCTTCTTCTCTTTCTACCCAGTCCCCCCATCCTTCCTCTCCCCCCTCCCCCCACGTGCGTTTGGAGGCAGGTACAGGGAAGTAAAAGCTAAGGTCTTTCAAACGGCTTGTGTTGCTTAAAGAAATAGGGAGTGCTGCTGAGTCCCATGTGGGAGCTGAGGAGAGCAGTTTGTTTTCTGGTACCTTCACAGTCTTGTATTTGGGATGGACGGGTTTGCAAACGGCAGCTCCTGTCTAGAGGGAAAATACTGTATCTAGTGGATGACTGATAGTTCTTATTTAGCGTTGTCCTGGCTGTTGGAGAGGGGCGTCTGCTTTGTTACTGCGCAAGGTTCGATTTATTTGCTTTTGTTCTGATCTGCATGTTGCCACAGCCTTTGAGAACAGTGTCTTTAAAGCAACAATAAAGCAAAAAGCTCAGCATGAAATAAGAAATTAAGGGAAGTGCTCTTTGGCCCAAGAAGGTACACTGGGGCATCCTCAATTGTTGGGGGCCGCCTGGGGAGAAAGAGTGGGGACCAAACAGAAGTCTCTGCAGGGCCCTTCCTGAGAGAGGTGTCGGGACTGGAAGGCTGGAAACAACCAGGCTCCTATCCTTTCTTTTTTTGCTTTGTTTTTGGAGAAGAGGAGAGGCAGGGGAAGAGCCCTGTGGCCTAATAGTAATATAAGCTGGCCTGGGCCACCTCATCTGAGGCTGCTGCTGAGCCCAAATCTGAAGGGACGGAAGACAGTTCCCTTCGAAGAACTTTCCCATTCAGGGACCCCTGAGTCCTGAAGTATATATAAAATTCACAAGTACAGCTGTCACTTTCAGAACTCTAGGTCTAAAGCTTTGCCTCTTGAGACCTATTCTGCCAAATCCCACCCTAATGTTTGCTCACAATTCACTTCAGTTCAGCCAGCTTCATAAGGCACCTGTTAAGAAGAGAGCCTAGGCTGGGTGTCGTTGGGACAAATCTATGGCACCTCCCTCAAGGATCTACAGTCTAGTGAAGGAAGAAAAGTGTGTGTACATCTCTAATACCATGCAGAACATGGGAGCTATTACACGTATGAAGAAAGTGCTATGCCGACATCAAAGAGATTCTTTATAATTGGGGCCATCTGAGACGCTTTCACAGAAGAGATGGCATTTTAACTGATCCTTAAAAAGTGAGGAGGAGGGGAGGGGGAGGGGTGAATCAGTGGAGGAAGGGGCAATTTTAGGGCAGTGAAGCTGTTCTGTATGATACTGTAATGGTGGACGCAGGACATTTGTCAAAACCCGTGGAAGTGTTCAACACAAGGAGTGAACCCTGATGTCAACTATGGACTTTGGTTAATAATCATGTATCAATATTGGTTCATCAATTGTAACGTGTACCACACTAATGCAAGATGTTAATAAAGGGGGCAACTGTTGAGGGAGGGGGTATATGGTAACTCTGTACCTTCTGTGCAATTTTTCTCTCTTTTTTTCTCCTCCTTCTTCTCCCCGAAAGCCCCCCAGTACATAGTTGTATATTCTAGTTGTGGGTCCTTCTGTCTGTGCTCTATGGGATGCCACCTCAGCATGGCCTTACGAGCAGTGGCATGTCCGCGCCCAGGATCCGAACCAGCGAAACCCTGGGCCACCCAAGCGGAGCGCACGAACTTAACCACTAGGCCACGGGGCCAGCCCCTGTGCAATTTTTCTGTAAACCCAAAACGGCTCTACAAAATAAAGTCTATTAAAAATACATGACCAATCTTATTGGGCATAAATAGGGTAAAAGGAATGAGCTTTTGGGGAAAGAGTGAAGCGAGGGAGACTGACGTGCAGGATGGGATGTGTCTGAAAATGAGCGCAGTGCAGTTGAGGCGCCGGACGCCTGGGCTGGGACGATGCAAAGCCAGTGGAAGAAGCCTTGCTGGCTTGCTAAGAAAACCAGATTTATCTTCTCTGCAGCAGGAGCCAGTAAAGGTGTTTAAGCTGAGAAATGACATAATTAAATTATGACTCGGGTCCCCGGGTTTTACACTTTAGGTCTTAATGAGTATGTGGAATCAGAATTTTTAACATTTTTCCATCCCAGCTTCCAAGTCCCGCCTTTGCATTGTGTCCAGCAAGACCTTTTTTTTGAGGGCTTTCATTCAGCACAGCTCTGAATGCTTTGGCCCGTTGGGTAATTTAAATATTTATATTCCCATGATAATTTGAATTACTAAATAGATAAAAAATAAGAGCCAATGTTTTTTAAGGGCTTCCTATGTGCCAGGCACTAGCGTAGGCACTTTACATGTGTTAACATGTAATTCTCATAATGAGCCTGTGAGACAGGTGCCTTAATACCCTCATTTTACAGATGACAAAAACGAGACATCAAGGAGTTAAGTAATTTGCCCAAAACCACACACAATTGTTTAGTGACTGAGACAATAAAACATGAGGAAAGGCTAGAATAAAAGATTTCAGTTCTAAATCAGCCACATGTGATAAGACCCGATTATGTCACTAACACAATTGTGGAGTTTTAGATCCCAAGCCTTTATGTATAAAACACTCCCGTTTAAAGGCACCAAGCTGGCATTCTAGACATGGTTAACTGCATGTATTTCATTTCAAAAAAGCCGTACTGAGCCTCAGTGTGGAGCCTCACCACCTCACACCCCTGGATCCTTGACTAGGTGCCCCATCATTTCTCCTCCGACAAATAACTCATCTTGTGCTCAAAAAGCACCATGTCACTTCCCTCACCAAAAAAATAGCTCGTTCTTCCTTCGTTTTATGTCGGATCTGAACTCCTCTGCCCAGCTTTCAACCTTATCATTTCGCACCATTCACCTTCACTGAGGTCAGCAGTCTCCTCATTAGGCGGTGAACATGCTGTGCTCATTTCTGACTCTCTGCCCCAGCTCCTGTTTATCCCCTGACCTGAAATCCTGCCTTGCTGACCTCTAACTAAACCCTCCCTATTTAACAAGGCCTCATCAAGTTCCCGCCTCCTCCCGGAAGCTTTCTCTGATTTCTCCAGCCACAGCAAACATATGCACGCTCCCATCCCCCACAACCCCCACCTTCCCTTCCCTAAAGACCTACAGCACCTGGTTATTCCTTTGACCACAGACCCTCTTGTGTCTTGTTTGATTGCTTCTTGGCTATAAATCCTGTCTTTCCAAACAGTGCAGGTCCCTAAGCAAGGATCACCTCCTTAGCCCCCTCCCCCCACTGCCAAGTGTTCTGCTCACAGCAGGCACTAAATACTCTGCTTAATCTGCACAGGATCATAAAAGCCCACAGATATCACTAGAAATTATCAGCTAATGTTTACAAAAATCCCATAAATTTTATGGCAGGACACTTGGCCCTTAGATGGTAAAAAATACAAACAGAGGGGAAATTGAGTCCTTTGTACTCCAGGAATTCTAACTAAGGAAGACAAACAGATCCTGAAGGCTCTCTGCAGAACACACCCATAGACAAACTCTAAAGTTAGGTCTGAATGAGTCTCCTTATGCTCAGGCCCTCATGCTAAGAGGCTAGCCCTGACCCACTGACCACCAGACAGGTGAATAAAGGGGGTGGGGACATCTGTTCCAGGTAGAGGAATGGCATGCACAAAGTCAGGCAGAAAAGTCCAGACGATGTGCAGGCGTCAGTAAGTAAGTGGTTAGGCTGGGACCCGGTGGTACTTCAGAGATAGCGGTAATAAGTGAGGTTGCACAGGCAGGACGGAGTGGGGTGACGAAAAGTCCCCAAAATCTGGCTCACCAGCCTGGGTGTTGTCTTGTAGGCCAGTGGTTCTCAAGCTTTTTGGTCTCAAGACCCCTTTACACTCTTAAAAATTATGGGAGACCCCAAAGAGGTTTTGCTATGTAGACTTTATCAATTGATATGTACCATATTCAAAATTCAAACTGAGAACATTGAAAACATCATTTATAATTCACTTTAAAATACTAATAAGCCAGTTACATGTTAACATATTTTTTTTAAGAAAAGTAATTTTATTTTCCAAAACAAAATAGTGAGAAGGATGGTGTTCTTTCAGTATCTGCAAATCTCTTTACTTTCTGGCTGAAAAGAAGACACAAGATTCTCATATCTTCTTCAACATTCAATTTGTAGCGCCAGAATGTTTGAGGTGAAGTGTATGAAGAATATCCAGCCTCACACAGATGTGTATTTACAGAAC